AACGGTTGACCATTGTGCGCCTCAACCACGGAGAAGAAATCCTCTGACTGGAAAATAAAGTTGATTTCAGGATTCAAAGAGCGAATAAGAAGGAAAAAGCATCACAAGATGAGCAAGTGTACACATGAACTAACTCCAATCTACAGGCGTGGAAATACCTTCACAGAATACGATGAGCGACAATACGACGCCCATATCCTACATGAACTGTGGTATTAGATTTTCAATTTAGGAGCATGTAATCAAATAGCGTTGTCAATCGTAATAAAGTGTATCATAAAGATATGCGCCCCATTAGTTCTTTTTACCAGAGTAAGGAATGAGTGCCTCTGGAAATTGCATGAGGGAGAAGTCATGTGCAATGACAATAACAGCGTCTACCTAACAGAACTTATAAGGCGTCCTCACAAATGAGAAGAAGATATGCTGAATCCAGAGGAGATATCCTATAGTAGAATAAAGATCAATAAAAAAATCCCAGTGATATAACAGAGGTACGATCAGCAGGTATGAAAATTACGGTTAGATAAAAACAATCCAGATGCGATCAGATACAAAGATGTCAGAATATAGGAGCAAACACGTGTTTGACGGGAAGGGAATTTATAAATACCTTTTGGTTAAACCAACAAAAATCGATGTTAAGAGCCGCTGAAAATTGAGAGATAAAATATGAGCGTTTTATAACGTGAGGCCACCAAAGATACTGTGAAGCGGATACTCACATCATTGAGGAGAGCATCAGTGCCAATTATGTAGTCCGTGAAGGGTTGCAGTCCAGCCATGGCAGCAGGCGATCCAGGGGAGACCTCGAGCACGTGCCAAACGTTCTCACTAGCTCCCTTGAAAGAGCAGTAACGAATGCTGAGACCTAAAAGCCCTTGACCACCCCAATCGGAGCTAGGAATCAGCGTGACCTCGCGGAATTCCTGTGTTTTAGAGGAATACACCTCCAAACGCATTGGCGTGTCCTTGTATTTGGCCAACACATCTTTGATGCTCTCATTGTCTTGATGCTAGTATAACAAAAAAGAGCCAAAAGAAACTTCATCAGAGTTCCTGGTTATCCTATGTTGCTCTACCAGTTAGATAATTTGAGTTGATCATACATAGGACTTTTGGCTTAACCTTAAAGTCAGAAAGCGATGATTGGAACGCTTCCACCTTAAAAGTTTTTTATTAAGGATTACAAAAAAACAACTTCACCATTTGACATTAAGGTTAAAAATGTAAATATAGAAGCCTACCAATCTTATGTCGCCAACTGACACTATGAAGTCAAAAAATGCCTCGAGTCCAGCTTTCTGACCTGGCGATCCATCTTGAACCTAAAAGCTATATAAAAGTTAGAAGTCGAACCTTCAATATGTGATACCCAGCTGTGCTGCTATCCAAACTACTCGAAGCCGACCCCATTCCAAAACACCAACGTACAGTCAATACAAAAGACGCACGAGATTGTCGTTAGTTAAAACAATGGTCTACTTGCATTTTATAAATTATGGGCCTAAACTTTAAGGCTACTTGGAACCTAGCATTTTTTACGTAACAAATTGGTAAGCGATCGTCCCTTTTATATACTAAAATGGAGTCAAATAGAATTATAATAGGCAACAACCAAAATTAGAACCCGTAGAAACATTTTTCGCAATACTAGGAAACTATAAACTGATGTTTAAATGACATACTTAGTTTAACTGGCTAAGTGTCAACCTCTCTGCTCCCAAACTATGTCCGCTGAAACACGAAGACGGTAGTGATGCGAGATCTAATCAAAACTTATTTTCGTTAGCACTAGCATTAGTCTTTCCACTCCCGTCCCCCATAATTCTGCAAATTTATATTGGTATAGTGTGAATCCCGAGGTCGCAGAAAGGAATTGTCTCTGCCCCATCACTTAGGGGAACTAGCAATTTGGAGCAAAGCATTACCTTGCTTCAAATTGGCCATTTTTAAATCGTAGACTGAATTGCAATTTACATATTGAACGCCTTTAC